GCTGAGGAAGCAAAGGAGATGCACTCTGGTTGTTGATCACACAGAGTGTCGGGAGGTTGCTGGTCGCCTCTGCACGCGGACTTTGGATCCGTGTGTGAAAACTCCAGGGGAGACACAGACTTGTTGGCAGTCTGTGGATGGTCTGTCTAGTGTGGAATTGGTAGAGTGAGGGGGAGCACGGAGCAGGAACTGCACAGTGGGGACAGTAGGCTATAGTTAGAGTGGCATTTACAGAGAGCCCAAAGGAGAGCATGGGTTAGGTAGGAAGGACAGCAGGGAGCATGCAAACGCGCATGGACATCACAGCCTTGGACGTGTTTTTAGGAGATGGGAGAGCCGAGGGAGCCCATCTCCCCATTTTGCTGCTAGCCATTCAGCAGGGTGAACCCCTGACATGGCTTGGACCCCATGGCTTACTTGCCTTTAGCTAACCACAGCTTATAGCAGTTGCACAGTGGATTCTTTTCAATGGAAGATGGACTCGGTTGTAAAATTCTTATTTACTCTTCCCCTAATGCTGCTTTCATGAGGGATTATGCACATTGGAGACATGTTTCTCTAGTCAATAAACACAAACAGGCCAACTAATTTAATTTTAAAGTCCCTGGGTGCATTATTAGCAGGTTGAAATCTGGCAAAATGACTAATTGCTCCAGTTGTTTGAAAGTCTACCATGTGTCGTGTGCTGGGCTAAGGATTCTACCCACAGGACTATAATCCTCAGAAAGTCCTGTAAAGAAGATGTGATTTGCTAGAAGACACAGAGGAACCTGAGATCTGTAGAGGTTAAATAAGTCACCTGCCTGAAATCATACAGATTGGGAATTTGAGCTTTTGGCTGTCTTGATTCTGAAATTTGTATGCAAGCAGAACTCTCTTATTGTGTGCAAAGTGTTAGGTAGCCTAGAAAGCATATGAAACCATAAGGCTGCAGTAATAAAAACAGTGTGGTATTGGCACAGGAATAAACAGACAGACAGACTAAACAGAAGAGGAAGCCAGAAATAGGTTGGAATGCACAGGTCTCCGAGGCTGATGGGGGAAGGAAGCTTTCATGTAGGGACACGTGAGTAGCTTCCTGGATTCAATGTCTTCACTCCACCATCTCACCTAGCACAAGTTAGACACCACATAAAGAATGAGCCACAGGGGTGCAAAGGCGAAGTTTCTTGTCATCTCAGAATAGGGAAGCTTTTCTAGTGTTCTCTCAAATCTAAACACCATAAAGCAAAGGCTATGCCATTGTGTTTCTTAGAACAAGCATTAAAAATATATCATAATCAAAATTAAAATGGAAATGACAACCTTGGGAAAATAAAATTTATATGTGAAACAACAATTCACACATGCACACACACATTATGTATACACACTATAACAGAGATAAACAACTAATTTTCCTACTAATTAAGTTAAAAAATAGAGAGCCATTTCAGGGGAAAATGGATCATGAGTGGAAAGGTGTTTTGCTGTAAAGGAAAATACCTTTAAATCAACAATCTAATAAGTGTGTTTATCCTGCCAGCTCTCAAATAATGACAAGGAGACTTCTTATTAATCATGAAAGCTCAGTCTTAGCTTAGGCTTGCTACTAACTAGCTATTATAAATTAAATTTCATTAACCCATTTCTATTAATCTACATGCTGTCACATGGCTTGTGGCTTTTACCTCTCTTCCTGCATGTCCTGTTTCCTCTGTGTCCAGCTGGAGGCTCCTCCTTTCTTCTTCTCAGAGCTCTCTCTGCCTGGAAGTCCCACCTATACCTCCTGCCTAGCTATTGGCCTTTTCGCTTTTTAAATAAACCAGCCACAGTTACTTATCTTTATACAGTGTAATCAAATACCTTGGAACACAATAAGGTGACCTTTAAGCTCTTCACAACAGAACAAATGCTGGTGCTACCGTGAGATCCCCTTTTGTTAGCCTGCTGCAAACCCCCAACTTGTAACACAAGCTATCAAGATGGATATGGGGAACCAAGCACTTATAAATTTTTGGACATGGAATGAAGTGGCTGAGGAGAGCTTAACTCGGCAGCGTCTAGCAACACGAGGGTTCAAGTCTCTGAAATTGTTGCATGTAAGCTGATAGCTGCGCAGAGAAAGGGTTCTGTAGGTTTTTGCCTGCAGCATTGTAGAACTGACCAAAACAGAATGGCTGAAATATTTATAAACAAGGAGCCAGATAAATCCTGACGTACCCATTTACCGTAACGCCGTGCAGCTAGGGAAGGCGAGTGAAGCGGCATTACATAAACCTACCTTGTAGGAAAGACCCGCATCAAAGAAACGCACTGGAAGAAAACAAGACTACAGTAAGATACCTTTTGTAGACAAGAGTAAGAAAATAAACACACACAGCCATGTTTCTTTATATTTTCATAAGGTAGGGTTTGCAAGGATGTACTATAAACTAATTAAAGTGTTTACTGCTTAGAAATGCCATGCATTAGCCAGATGGAGGAAGGCAGGTGGGAATGTTTTCACGGTAAAATTATATTCTGTATATATACACATACAGATATACAGAAATGGGGGAGAGACAGAGACAGATACAGATACAGAGAGAGGAGAGAGAGAGAGAGAGAAATAGAGGGAGGGAGGAAGGAAGAGAGAGAAACAAAGATAGAGATGCATAAACAGAGACATAAGAGACAGACACAGAGACAGAGAGATAACATTAAAATATCACCCACATATATGTCAAAGCTCATGAACTCAAACACAACACACATTAGTACCCTAACAAATCATGCGTACAGAAAGACACTGGGCTAAAGCATGTTCATGAATTAGATCAGTCATAACCGCATAAACCACTGGCAGCTTGTTCCTGTCATCAGTGTCAAATTGTTCCATTTGCTCACCCCCTCGTGTTAGCTTTCCTTTTCTGCAACAGAACGCCCAGGGTAAACATGCGGAAGAGGAGGAATGTTTATCTTGGCTGGAGCTTTAGGCTTTCCAGCCTGTGGTTGGCTGACTACTTCCATCGTGGGCTGGAAGCACTTGGCAGTGTCCTGTGAACAGACCACAGCTTCTTCCCTCAAGGACTGGGAAAGCAAGAGCAGGGAGCGAGTGTGGTGGCAGAGGGAAGGGCAGGCTGAGTGGAAGGAGAGGGTGGAAGGCAGCTTTCTTTCTAGTGTCACCTGGGCTAGTTCTTCTTGAAGACTCCACTGTCTCCTATTAGGACTGCAGGCTGTTGCCCAGCCTTCCAACATGTGAACCTCAAGAGACATTTGATATAAAAATAGCAATACTTACTGATAAACTTTACTCACATATCCATATGTATTTAAGGTCATTCGACTTGCTGTTGCACAAATGGTATTTCATAGCCTAAACCCAGCTTCAAAAATACCAAAACCACAATACAAAAATGAAATTAATAACATTTAAAGGAACTAGTAGACTTTCATCAAAATAAACAGTTAAAGAACTAACACGCTTTCGCTAAAATAGGCATGGCCCTTTGTTGAGACTTAGATGAAAGCATGTGACATGATTCTATACAGTCTTTGAGCTTTGATTTAATGAATGTCATAAGCCAGGGTGACCTGTTTGCCCCAAACGGGAAGATTTACCTAGGTGTAGCTCTCCTCATATTGTTATGTTCAGGTCAGTCATAAGCAAATTGGGACGGTCAGTTTCTGTTACAGCTTGATGAGTTACAGCCCAAACTTATGTGTGAAAAACTTGAGGACATGATTGTTCAACGGCTGAACTTATGAAATCATCAAACTCATTTCCCGTCATCAGTCGCTAATTACGAAAGATTTTGTGAAAATCACCTGCTAAATTTTCATCTTCTCTGTTGACAACTTGTTTGGGAACTAATCAAGAGGAATGCATAACCATGTTTCCAAAAGTGAGTTAAGAGCCCCACCCCTAGCTTTTATTTAGAGGATTCTCAATGGCAGAAATTCTGATCTTCAATTTTAACTTTTCACAAACTTTTGATAGGCCACAAAACCATATAACTAAGATTTTATGTCTAGATACCTACTTTTAAAATGGCTCTTGCCTCTCTTTCAGTAACTAAGTACATAAACTAAGACCTGGAGTGCCAGCATTTGCTGAAGGCTGTTCTTTATCCGGGAAACTGTGACCAGCATGTCCGGTGAATGCTGTGACTGTGAGAAAAGGCAGGGGCATATCTCTGGTCCCTTGTCCTTGTTTTGTGTGTTAAAGTCAATCTGTGTTGTTCCTTTTTCTCAGTGGTCTTCACAGCCACTTGTGTGTTTTAGATGTTCAGTGTGGCTACAGTTAGCTAATATTATTTTAATTGAGTACCGATAGAGTGGGGTTGACCAGATAGCCCAAAGGAGGAATGAGAGCTGAGACTGTGGTGGTGTGGCAAGCCTCCGCCAGTCAGCCACCTCTGTGCAGCCCTCCAACACAGGTGTGGAGGTGTTGGGGCCAACTGTTTCTACCTTTATATCCAAGGCTGTTGAAGCTCACTTTTTCTGTATGTATTCAATGAATAAATGAGGCTGTATGAATGAATTTATACCATGGAAAGAGGCGGTGGTGGTAGACAGCTCCTGGCACCCACTGGACAGTGCTGGCTCTATGACTAACCCTCAGTTACGTGGATGCTCATAGATTTGCTGCCTGTGAAGCTTCAGTTGTCAGTGTTGAAGCAGAGTGACAACATTAAGAAGACAAGCCTTTGGGATACTTTCAGAGGGGTTGTTTTAATTGGTTTAAATGAGGGAAGACACCCAACGCGATTCCCTACACTTGGATATAGGATCGCATAGGAAGGAGAAAGCTGGCTGGGCCCAAACATTCACTGTCCTCTGATTCCTGGCTATTGGATGCAACTTGACCAGCTTCCTTAAGATCCTGCTGTTTTGCCTTCTGCCCTGCTGACAGGCGGAAAGAAACCCTTCCTTCCTACACTGCCATCATTGGGTATTTCAGCGCAGCAACAGTGAAAGAAGTTAGTGTAAGCAGTAAGACATGAGAAATGATCTAAATCACATTTTCTGTATTCCAGGGTCAAACTGAAGAAGAAGAGAAGCCCAGAGGCGGTGCCGCAGTTTTAAGCCGAGGTAATCATCACTGTCTTGTGTAGTTCTAGCTCACAGGGAGCAACTTTCACATGGAAATCTGGTTAGATTTTTTTTTAGCTGTGTTACACTTCTTAGTTTAAACATAGAATTGCGATCTTCTCCAGGTTACTCATGGCCTTGCATATATTAATGTCAGCTTTATCTATGTTATGCCATGTTTTTTAGCTGTATTAAGGGATATTCGTCTACAGCTTTTGTTTTTGTATGTATTTGTCTTTCAAAGAAACTGTGAATGAGGCCATTTCTGTTTTGTAAACTTTAACCACTAGTGACAGAAGGTGGTACTGAGTATATGTTTACCTCATTGCTTTTATTTTTTCCCCCAAATTGTTTTACTCATCTCATATTTGTGCTTGTTCATTCCTGCTGAAGCCATGTTGAAGAGATGGTACATTTAACCCAAAATGGATATCCCTCGTGGTTAATCACACATCAGTAGACTTCATATATTGTGTGTTTTTTGGTATTCCTTTGATTTTCATGAGCATTAATTTTAAATCAACAAATAGAGGTACTTTTTGTGGCTATTTCCACATGTCAATTGCTATTAAAATTTATATAAAGTACAGTTGAATATCCAAAACTATTTTTATTCTCTAGGAAGAAAGGTATATAAATTTGATAATAAGCCCCAGGAAAACTCTAAAGATACCACAAATATTTAGTTGAGGTAAGGTTTTTCTTTTATTTTTAAATAATAAAATCAACTATATGTTTTGTGTTTTTAGTATTTTGATTTCTAAAAGACTGCTTACTATTGCTTAATTTTGGAAAACAATGCTGACAATCTGTAACCTGAAAAATGTTTTCTATCACAATTAAAGAAAAATGTATGTTGCTTTAAGTGGATATAGTCTTCAGTTGCTGCCACCAGAGGCCTGTCATAGTCTTTGCTGAACAAGGAGAATGGGGTGCAGTACTTTGATAATTATGTAACTTGATGTTCTGATCCACTGGAATATACTTCAGTTATACAACATTCAGATTTTAGAAATGAAATTGGCTTGCACAGGGCCTGAGCAGTAGGGTTTTTTCAATTTTACTTTTCATTTCCAGAGGTTAGGTTGATACTTATTAAATTGTCATTTCTCCCCTGGAGCTATATTTCCCACTAATGTAAATTGAGTGTTTTTTTTTTTAATTTTGTGCCTGGATTCTTCGTTCCTATTGGAAGAACAATAGGCTTAGGTGAACAATTTAAAACTTTTCCATTCCCCATACTAGGGTTCTTTCCCCAGTTTAGTGCTTGTATTTTGACTCCATGCAAGGATTTGTTTCTCTCAAACACTTTTCCAGGTTTTACAGAAAGGCAGTTTGCTTTCTTCTTCTCCATCTGCTGACTTGTTTTGTAGTTATTAATTTGTTCACAAAAGTTATTTGCTGTGCTTTACTCTGTCCCAAATTTGACGTTATTAACTGTGTCTGGAACATAGCTAAATGTTTAGAGGAAGGATTAGCTTTGTTCTAAGTGTGTACATGCTATTAGTTGCTAATTATAATGAGAATAGGGACACGTGAAAGCTTTAGGGAATAGTGTGTTTCTTTTTTTTTTTACCATGTTTAATGGAGTGAATGAGATATATCTCCCATTGTCATATTACCATAGCATCTTAGTGGAGATCTTTCCACGTACAGATTGTGTAACAGTAAAAGTTTCTTCATAGAATCCCTAAATAATCTGGAGAAACTTAGTCACTTACCTGGTGTCTTAAAAATAATAACAAAACAAAACCGGAATTGTGTATGTACACATGTATATGCACATAGAAAATTATATTGAATATAAACACACAGTTCTTTGTAGTAAATTTATGTCTGGCATGTGCTTCTTTGGCTGTTGTTGTAACATAATCTGACTTCCCAACTTATGCCACTAACACTAAGCTATAGGCAAGGGAGCATCCAGTGCCTCTTGACTTTCTCAGAATAAACTTCGCTAATTGGTGATGAATCCAAGGTTCGAAACTATATTCAACAAGTTGTAAGGCTGAGTGAGCCCTTTAGGCTCTATGCATGCCCTTCCTATGTGAGCATCTTCCTCTTCTGTGTAGGTCTTAAGACTAAGGTGTAGAAAGCTGTAACATTGATTAGAGATGGGCTCTAATTGTATGCTTCTCGGGATGGGCTGAGCTAGATTTTCCTTGAAAAAGCCATTCCTTGAGATTTATGTTTGGAAACTCTTTGGCTAAAATTCGTCCTAGTGACTAGGGAAGTCATATAACTCTCCTTGATCCACCACCCCGAGAGAAGGCTTGTATCAGCATGCAATGTTAATATTCACTTGTCAATAATTGTCTGTAATAAAGTCGGAGAATTGTTCTTGTCAATAAGTGTGAAGCTCAGACTTGTCTGCGTTTGTTTTTGACATCTCCAAGACAAAAACACCGGATTTCTTTATGGGCTCAAATGATCTGGATTTTTCTATTCTCATTTCTAAGTGTCTTTAAAAGCATTGTCTGTTTGGTTAAGTGTAAATGATCTGGATTTTTCTATTCTCATTTCTAAGTGTCTTTAAAAGCATTGTCTGTTTGGTTAAGTGTTGGGGGCAGTGGGGGTTTATGAACATAAAAAGAAGAATGAAGGAGGTTGTAAAGAAAATGTAGATGCATGCATATGAAGATTAAACTTTGTATGTAAAAATTAATAAATGAAATAGAAATAGAACCCCCACCCCCAAAATATCCATAGATACAATGGAGAACAGGCCCTTAATACATAAAGGAATTAGGGAAAATCATCAGATGTACTTTGATCTCAGTCATCAACAGGAAAAGGTTACAGATTGTTCACCGAGGAGGGGATAAATATGACTAGTTATTAGCATATTGAAAACATCAAGTTTCAATAGAATATAAATAAATACAAGTTTAAGCCGGGCGGTGGTGGCGCACGCCTTTAATCCCAGCACTCAGGAGTCAGAGGAAGGTGGATCTCTGTGAGTTCAAGGCCAGGCTGGACCGACAGCCTCCAAAACAATACAGAGAAACCCTGTCTCATAAAACCAAAAAAAATAAAAAATAAAAATAAAAATAATAAATACAAGTTTAAAAATAGTGATGATAGTTTTGATTTACCAAATTAGCAAGAGTTTTTTTCTTAACTTCTGGTTCCTTTCAGCATACAATAAGGAGATGAGCTCTGGGCTCATGAGTGGAGTTTGAAAGTGTTAAATAAAAATATCCTTTGAGCCGGGCGGTGGTGGCACACGCCTATAATCCCAGCACTTAGGAGGCAGAGGCAGGTGGATCTCTGTGAGTTTGAGACTAGCGAGTTCCAGGACAGGCTCCAAAACAATACAGAGAAACCCTGTCTTGAAAAAAAAACAAAACAAAAAACCAAAAAAATGTCCTTTGATTTAGAAAGTCTTCATTGAATTTTTTTCTCAATGAAATAAACATGTGCATTCAACTTATGTCAACCTTGATTATTGTGTCACTGTTTATAACTACAAAAGTTGAAAATGAATGTTCAATGCATTTGGTTATTAGGGAAAACATTGTGGCTTGAATATCTGTAGAGAATTATGCCAGCTATATCTTGGGGAATTTAAAAATCACCAATATAAAAGCTGATGAAAATGTTTAATATGTTACTATTTTAACAACAGTTGTTTTGGGGGGTTTTGTTTAATTTTAAAAGTGTGTTGTAATAGTCATTTATGGTCACAATATATGGCTGTGTCAAGCCTACCTGCTTTTCTGAATTACCCAGAAAAATCTAGCTTATCCTTGTATCTCTTTTTTATTTTTTAATGCTGTCCTAAACGTGAGAATCTTCTCTGCTACACTTTGGGCTTCCTTATTCTAACTTCAAAGATCTTTCCCCACCAGTCTTGCCATGGGACTGTTTGTCTGTCATATGCCTAGTCACTGACACCCCTGCCCAAGTCAATAGGTATGGTTTCGCCCCTCCTCTTTTCCATCTAACTCTTCCACATAGCTGCCAAGATTATACCTTGGCTGTCTCCTGGATTATTTTCAAAAATAACTCTTAATGAAGTTTACATTAAGCTTTCTTCTGAGTTCATGTTTAATTCTTTTATCAACAAGGCTAATAACCATGAGAAGGGACCCTGATTTCATGGTGTATGTTAACCCACATGGGGCTCCCTCCAATTTCCTGTAATATGTGGTGACCATGTAGGGAGGGACCCCAGAGAAGTTTCTTTTTTTGAGAACAAAACAGGTGACCATACTTCGGGACCTTAGCTACTGGATTTGCTCCGTTATTAGGGTCAACCAACCATCTCTGGAAACATACGATTCTAGGTAGCTTCCTTGCGTGGTGTGATGGTTTAATGTCAAAGAATTCCTCCTTCCATATAGAGGTTCTTCTTCTGAATGGCTCCTTCAAGACCTCTTCTTGTACCTTGCCCTGTGTGTGTGTGTGTGTGTGTGTATGTGTGTGTGTATGTGTGTGTGAGAGAGAGAGAGATTGTGTGAGTGTGTGAGTGTATGTTTGTGTATGTGAGTGTGTGAGTATGTGTGTGAGTGAGTGTGTGTGAATATGTGAGTGTGTATGTGTGAGTGTGTGTGTGGGTGCATGTATGTGTGTGAGTGTGTATTTGTGTTTTGGGGATGGTCTTATACCTTAGGATATTTGGCTTTAGAGTTTTTAGTTGTATAATATGACATATCTCTCAAGTTAGGCATATTCTGAAAGGGCGTGTAATCAGGTCCAATGGGGTCATCAAGACTTACTGTTCCAGCTGGGCGGTGGTGGCACACGCCTTTAATCCCAGCACTTGGGAGGCAGAGGCAGGTGGATCTCTGTGAGTTTGAGGCCAGGCTGGACCGACAGCCTCCAAAACAATACAGAGAAACCCTGTCTCGTAAAAACCAAAAAAAAAAAAAAAAAAAGACTTACTGTTCCATAAACTGACTCAGTGATGTATTAAAGCTCTTTAGTGTTAGTAAGCCAGATGGTCTGGAGAAGAATCACTATGGCTACAAAGGAGCTTCACTTACTTCCAGGGTTAG